TTTTTTTTTTTTTTTTTTTTTTTTTAGATGGAATCTTGCTCTGTCACCCAGGCTGGAGTGCAGTGGCATGATCTCAGCTTCCTGCAACCTCTGCCTCCCAGATTCAAGTAATTTTCCTGCGTTAGCCTCCCAAGAAGCTAGGACTACTGCTGCCCACCACTACATCCAGCTAATTTTTGTATTTTTAGTAGAGATGGGGTTTTACCATATTGGCCAGGCTTGTCTTGAACTCCTGACCTTGTGATTCACCCACCTCAGCCTCCCAAAGTGCTGGGATTACAGGCATGCACTGCACCCAGCCAGCTGCTCCAGGTCTTATGTGTAAAACTATCTTTTCTTATCTGCTTCCCATAGGGTTCTTGATATGATGAAATGGGATGTCAGAAAAAAATATTTTGAAACCTTCAAAGCATACTATATTAAGTGTTTTTTCTCCCCTCCAAAAAAGAATGAGGGTGCTCTTACAAATAACATGCTATAAAAGATTTGAGGTGGAAGCCTAATTTACCCAGAGGTTAGAACTAAACTCAGTATTTTCTTCAGCCTTATTGAGGTTTGTCATACAAATCTATACAACCTTATTGTATACTACGCATAAAGTACACAATTTGAGGTTTTGACATATGTATATATCCATAACATCATCACCACAATCTACATAGTGAGCATACTCATCACCCTAAAGTTTCCTGATGTCCTTTTGTAAACTCCTCCTTATCCCACCATGTCACACCTTAACATAAATGAAATTTTAGTTCAGGCAGGGCCACAGCAAAAAATTACCACAGGATAGAAAGTAGGGCCCTAAATGAACATGGAAACCACTAACTAATATCCTGAATGGTAGCTTCCAACAAAGGCTTCTGTGGCCACACATTTGTCTGCGGTGTTTGAAACTCTAGTGCCTTTTGTGTCACCACCTCCCCTTTTTTTTTTGACTCGGAGTCTTGCACTGTCACCCAGGCCGGAATGCAATGGCATGATCTTGGCTTACCGCAACCTCCACCTCCCACGTTCAAGTGATTCTCCTGCCTCAGCCTCCTGAGTAGCTGGGATTACAGGTACCACGCCCAGCTAATTATCTGTATTTTTTAGTAGAGGCAGGGTTTTATCATGTTGGCCAAGCTGGTCTTGAACTCCTGACCTCGTGATCCACCCTCCTCAGCCTCCCAAATTGCTGGGATTACAGGCGTGAGCCACTCCACCTGGCCTGTGTCACTCCCCTTTTTGAACACACTTCCATGTGTTCCACAGAAAGCATTATACCTGTTTGGAAACCAACAAAGAAACTGAAAGTAAAAACCCATATGCAATTGCACCTGTAGGCCTGAGGTGCACACAGGGACTCTTACCACTGCCTCGCTCCCTGGAGCAGACAGACTTGACGTTGTATAATGGCTGCCGTGGATCCAAGAAGGAGACATGAGCTTGGGAGCCCACTGCATACACTGACCATTCACTACCATAGGCCAGACACACATTCTCACGGCAGTATGGCAGTTTGGTGGAGAGGAGCTGAAAATAGAGGAGAGATGTACCCATGGCATCAGCAGAGAGTGTAAGGCAGGGATACGACTCCCACCTCAGTGGGCTTCCCTCATACACAAGCCACATAAAGACAAGCCTTGATTATGGAAATAACACTCTGTTCCACCCCTAGGTATACAGGAGAAAGAGGAGGTGACTGTAGTAAACAACAAGACCTAGATACTGAAGGAGACAGGCTGGGGAAAAGGCAAATCTGTAATAAATAATCAGAAGTAGCTAGAAAGGCCAAGGCCTTTCTTGGTAGGATGTTTCAACTATTCAGGTTGTTTCTGGGAATTGTTTAAGGGCACGAAAGCCATGGTCCCACTTGTTGTGTCTGCCACCACTCTCCTCAGTGCTTTTCATATAAAGAGGCTGATCTCTGGCTACCTGCAGCCTACCCTCCCACCTGATTGGGAATTGTACACTACAGAAAGCCCACTCATGGACTAGCTTAATCCCAGATAACCCACATCAGACTTAACCCTGGGTCTTTGTCAGTTAGCAAACCTTCAGTGGGTGCATACTACTCATAAGACACCACCCAGGGTCAGTGAAGCTCAAAGGCTATTGTGATATGAAGGAATCACTAATTCCTGGAACCCTGTTTCCTCTTGCAAAGGCCTCTAGGATAAGAAGATGACAAAAAGCTGGACTCAGTGGCTCATGCCTGTAATCCCACCACTTTGGGAGGCCAAGGCGGGTAGATTACCTGAGGTCAGGAGTTCAAGACCAGTCTGGCCAACACGGTGAGACCCCATCTCTACTAAAAATATAAAAAATTAGCCTGGTGTGGTGGTGCACACCTGTAAATCCAGCTACTCAGGAGACTGAGGCAGGAGAATCGCTTAAACCTGGGAAGTGGAGGTTGCAGCGAGCCAAGATTGCGCCGCTGTACTCCAGCCTAGGCGACAGAGTGAGGCTCTATCTCAAAAAAAAAAAAAAAAAAGATAAATGATTCACATGTAAGTTTAACTCTATGTAAAAGCTGCTTGTTGAGTCTCCCTTATAAATGCTTGTGACTACAAATGTTTTGAATTTTGGATTTATCCAGATTTTTAAATATCTGCCTAATGTATTAAGCTATCTTGGGGAAGGCACCCAAGTCTAACCACAAAATTCTCATTTGTTTCATATACATCTTTTTTTTTTTTTTTTTTTTTTTTTAAAGATAGGATCTTACTCTGCTGCCTAGGCTGGAGTGCAAGTGGCACGATCTCAGCTGACTACAACCTCCGTCTCCCAGGTTCAAGCGATTTTCCTGTCTCAGCCTCCCTAATAGCTGGGATTATAGGCATGCACCACCATGCCGAGATAATTTTGTTTGTTTATTTATTTATTTATTTATTTGAGACGGAGTTTCGCTCTTGTTACCCAGGCTGGAATGCAATGGCGCGATCTCGGCTCACCGCAACCTCTGCCTCCTGGGTTCAGGCAATTCTCCTGCCTCAGCCTCCTGAGTAGCTGGGATTACAGGCACGCACCACCATGCCCAGCTGATTTTTTGTATTTTTTTTAGTAGAGACGGGGTTTCACCATGTTGACCAGGATGGTCTCGATCTCTTGACCTCGTGATCCACCCGCCTCGGCCTCCCACAGTGCTGGGATTACAGGCTTGAGCCACCGCGCCCGGCCTTGATAATTTTTTTTTTTTTGGAGTCTTGCTCTGTAGCCCAGGCTGGAGTGCAGTGGCCCGATCTCAGCTCACTGCAACCTCTGCCTCTTGGGTCCCTGTTCAAGGAATTATCCTACCTCAGCCTCCCAAGTAACTGGGATTCCAGGCACGAGCCACCATGCCCAGCTAATTTTTGTAATTTTTAGTAGAGACAAGGTTTTACCATGTTGGCCAGTCTAGTCTTGAATTCCTGACCTTGTGATCCACCCACCTCGGCCTCCCAAAGTGCTGGGATTACAGGCGTGAGCCATAGTGCCTGGCCTAACTTTTGTATTTTTAGTAGAGACGCAGACTCACCATGTTGGCCAGGCTGGTCTTGAACTCCAGATCTCAGCTGATCTGACCACCTCGGCCTCCCAAAGTGCTGGGATTACAGGCGTGAGCTACCATGCACAGCCAAGAACTGGTCTTTAAACAATAAGTGAGACCAGGTTCAATGGCTCATGCTTTAACTCCCAACACTTTGTGAGACCCAGGTGGGAGATCACTTGAGGTCAGGAGTTCAAAACCAACCTGGGCAACATAACAAAGACTCTGTCTCTACAAAAATTAAACAAAACGAAACAAACAAAAATGCCCAGATGGGTGTGGTGACACATGCCTATAGTCTCAGCTACTTGGGAGGCTGAGGCAAGAGGACTGCTTATGCCCAGGAGTTCAAGGGCATACTGATCCATGAGCTATGACTGCACTCCAGATTGGGTGACAGAGTAAGACCCTATATTTATTGTCTCAGTATAAATAAAATAAAAATACCAACCTGGTCAACATGGGGAAACCCTGTTTCTACTAAAAATACAAAAGAATAGCTGGGCATGTTGGCAGACACCTGTAATCCCAGCTACTCAGGTGGCTGGGGCATAAGAATTGCTTCAACCCAGGAGGCAGAGGTTGCAGTGAGCCAAGATTGCACCATTGCACTCCAGCCTGGGTGTCAGGGTGAGACTCTGTCTCAAAAATAAATAAATAGATAAATGAAATAAACAAGAATGAAAAAGCTCTGGGAGAATTACAGAATTTTAACAGTAAGGTAAGTTATTAGGTAAAACAACCAAATCATGTTCATCACACCTTAGACAGTGTATTTTCAGCCTTCCAGAGATGAAAGTAGCCATCCAGAGACACTGCTCCCAGTTCCTACAAGAGCAATGAAAACCAGGTTATATTCTCATCTGTAGCAACTAATGTACAATAGTAAGCAGGCACAAATCCTAAGGTCAGGGTCCTTTACTCCTAGGTTGTGATGATTCCAGCAGAGATGCCAGTAATTATTAGACTATTACTTTACCCTATAAAATGCAGCTGGACAACATATTAAATTAAGGTTGCCCGTAATAACACAAGCACCCATGTGAGGAGGTTCAAAAACTTCTCACTATGTCATCATTCCCTCAACATCCTGTTGGAGAATTAAAGTAGGACACACATATGAAGGATAGTTTCATAATCTAGTGTGAGAATTTCTTTTCTCTCTCTCTTTTTTTTTTAAGAC